CGAAGTTGATGTCCGCTAAGCTACCATGAAGAATGACATTTGATGCTCCCTCAGCACATCCTGAAATGCAGGTATGTGGCGGTGTGAGGAGGTAAAACTTGCACCAACCTGCGTAACGTATGCCAAACTCAAAGAAGAATACCGTCCAAAAGAAGGGGATCAGCTGAGTAGGATATGGTCGGCCAATAATTGAATAGGCAAGAAGTTGACCTAAACCAGTTTATAGAATTATGACGACCTATTGCTTATGAGCCTCCATGAAGAGCTCATCAATTTTTCAATCTATAGCTCTACCAATCCTTTCCGGTCATCCTCTATCCTTCGCAAATAACTCATGTAGATGATTACACAAACAATAAAATTGTATCTCTAATTTGCAGTTTTAAAAGATAAAGTTGAAAGGTAAAAAGGACAATCTTGACTTAACATCTATTGGCTTTTCATTCGAAGACTACTCGACTTTTACGCACTTACCATGGGTTTGCGCAACTTGGAAATGTTGAATGTTGATATTGTCAATGTCCCACAAGGGTAACGGTGCGCTTACTGCATCTCCGATTGCATATACAAAATCGGCAGTGGTCTGGAATGAGTTGCCGATGGTTGTTCACGATGTTGAAAGCTTTTGCAAGTAATAGAATGTTTCTTACTCTGAAGTGGTCATCTACTACGATGAAACCTCGTTCATCAAGTTCAATGCGGGTTTTTTTTAGCCACTCAGTTGGTGGAACGATTCCTAAACAACCATTTAGCGATTTTTGTAGGAAATTCTCACAAGCTCCCTATTCGGTGCTCGATACGTTGTTTGGCTGGTCATTCGATAAAATTGCGGACCTATTCCGACGACGACCACATCTGCAGGAAGCTTTTCACCACTAGTCAAAACGACGCCGGTAACCGTATCCGTTCCCTCGAGTTTTTCAGCCGTGGATTTCACCATCACACGCACACCTTTTTGTTCAAATCGCTTAAAAACTCCAATTCAGTACATAGTACTATTTTTGTTCTATAATCCACCGAGGCATACATTTCTGACAGCACATCCGACATCTGGACCT